TTATAAAGAGATTTTATAGATCAGATTATTCATATGCAGAATGATGGTTATTTGATTTATAAAGCATGTAGTAGAGTTTCTTTCTTGTTCTGAAGCAACCACAAAGCTTCTTATGTGCATTGCTCTAGGACAGAGTCATCAAGGTGAAATAGAAAGTTCTTTGCTGAATGAAGTTAAGCTATGGAATAATAAAGTCACCCATGGTTATAATACAAGTAAAACACTCAAGTCTATTTCAGTGTATTAGTTCACAGAAAAATAGCAAGCCATATGTTGTCCAATCTCAATATGCAGCTTGTTGGCTGTGGCCTAGCAAAAAGAACTAGCCACCTTAAAATAACTGTAACAAGAATTCTAAATCCAATCGGTGTGTAATTTATGTACCATACTTTATCCAAAAGATATTTCTAAATTTAAAATAATTTATATTTCCAGTGAAAAGAAAGATTGGATAAATAATAAGAATGTCACATTGTTACCATATTCTCAATGTATCTAAAATGCTCCTTCAATTTTAAAATAGATCATTTAGGAAAAGCTAGTGTTTTTCAAATACAACTATAGAGAACTAAATTTTAATTCTAGTGGTGAAAAACTATTAAGCAAGATAGCAATAACTTTTAATAAAGGTGCTAAAGAAGGTATCAACATTCTGAAACTTAGATATAAATTAAAAATAACACACTTCAGCTTTTTTGAAGCTGATCTTTTTTGCTTTATTTTATATCAGCATATCAATGAATTGTCTATGAAAATGGACGTGGATGATGTACTTTGCAAAGCAGAAGCTGTTTCTATGCAGATGATGAATTGCAAGGTAAATAGTGAAATGTATTTTATAAGCATTCTATGAAGAAATCATGCGTTGTTCCAACTTAACTGTTCCAACTTCAGAAGGTGGACAACAGTGTTTGGAAATATAGAATACACAGAGTGATTGCCTATCTTGCTGCTACTTTTCCTATGGCAACTCCCTCTGTCTTAAAAAAAAATATCATTTTTATATTGCAACATTTTGTTATACACTATCCAGAGTCCCTCTAAGGGAGAGATGAGTGGTTTAAAAATGTGAAAAATAAAATTATACAAACAAATAAATAAATCTTACTTTCAGATTTTGCATTTCCTCTATTAGGAAAACATAATGGGTTGCGGAATTCCTTGAGACTGAACCTTTTTCCCTCCTTTTTTCGTTAACTTCAAGGTTGTGTGCACACGTGAGACAAGATTAAAGAAAAGCAGTAAGCCATATTAACGTGCAGCATTTCCCCATCCTAGGAAAATAATAAGTTCTGTTGCAGTATTGTGACTCCTGGCTATTGTATTTTGTTGCTTTTTTAGGGCTACTTGCTACTCACTTTTTCCTATCAAACAATAAATTGTATAATTTGATACTTCATATACCTACAATTATAAGTCATGTTTATTTCATTTAATTTAGTTCTGCATTAGGAAGTCTGGTGTTTTTGGTTGGGATATTGTTTCAAAGCAGGGTATAAATCGAGAGGAATAACATCTTAGCAATCAAAAAGAACTTTTGTCTTTTCTTTTCTTCAAAGGAATTACCTCAAGCAATTTGTGAAATTTTGGGATTAGAAAATAGTGCTATGACAACACCAGATTCAGATGCTGGAGAAGATGAGGCTGTTGATGGGATGAGTTGCCTTGCATCAGCATATCCAAACATCTCTTTGCCTGTTGCTGCTGCCAACAAAAGAAATGAAAGAATTCAACAAGTGATACACATAGACTCCACAAACTAATGCTTGTGTAATTGGTTGTATTGTTTAACAGGCAGTTAATTACAACTGTTTTGTTTCAGGCATTTGGGTTGATATTTTGAGTTTGTGTCGACTAAGCTTTAATGAATTGGGAAATAAATCATGTACTGTAATACTTCTGCATCAAAGCTTTACATGACATTATTTTTATAGTTTCTTTTACCAAAATAGCCTTCCGTTTTTCCAGTAACATTCCTTAATACATTTGTATGAAAGTGCTTTTTTTTGTCTTCAGTGAGATGAGAATCAGGCAGTGTGAATGACATGAAATAAGGGATCTATTCCTTGTACTTTGAAAATACCTGGGCGTGGATAGTTTTTGGATATCATTAAAGTGTTAACAACTCTTCTATATTATTTCCTAAATTAAGTTGGCAACTTCCACAACATAGCTTTGTAAATGAAAGGATTGTGTTCTTTTTCTAATGTTTACAAAAACACTAAGTATTTGTGCGGACTGAATGTAGATTCAGAATGAAAATTTACATTTGTGAAGTCTGATCCTGAGTTTAGCATAATCTAGGATTGCATTTTTACATTTCACACCTTTCTTATGCATACATACTTATGCATTCAGACTTTCACATGTATGAATATTAAAGGATAACTCTATTTTTGACTAAAACAACTTTGGTTGGTAATTCAGACAATTTTGTCCAGATTTTAATATACAGTTCAAGCGTAACTATTTTTGAAAATCATTTTTCTAAATAAGGATAAATGTCTGAATATATTCTGGTTCTCAACTTAATATTCTTAGCAAGGGTTTCTTGCTCATTTAACTAATAATGTTTATCTTTGCTGAATAGTAGTATTTCTGTTTAATAATAACCAATCTAAATTGCCTTTATATTAGACTAAACTTTTTGAAAACATAAAAATAAAGATGAAATTTTAATTTCCTTCCTTTGGTTCCGCCTAAGCTCCCTTTGGTAACACAACAAAATCTGGAGTTTCCTAAGGTAGACCATTACATGCATATGAGAAAAATATAAGATTATATTATGCGATTATTTGATGTTTTACAGTAATGTGAAATATAATTTCATGTATTTGTTTCTATTTGAAGATATTGTACATATTATGAAATAAAATGCAAAGTTTACTTAAAGATTTTTAATTAAGACATATTTAGCTGAAAACTGAAAAAAGAATTCCTAAATTTCCAATGTTTCATGAGAGGCATTTAGTTCTTTTATGGCATAACACTTTGGTTATAAAATGAACAGGCTAGTGATAGAAAAAATTAAATTCTTTGTCCTAAAGGCATCACTGGAGTTGTATTCGTAAATAAACAGTTGAATTATGGTTTTCTGAAGATAAGCTTGAAAACACAAATGTGATCCTCATAACATTTGTCAGGATCTAGAAATCCATTTTTCATAATGACATCCTAATCCATGTTCTGGCAATAGAAAATCTGGCTTGCTTTTTCCAATATGATTAAAGGTAGCAGGGTAGCTGTAGGAAAAAGGGAAGGAAATATTAAGTCATTCCCAATTATCAAATGCAATCTGTCTCCAAAAGATTCAATTTCTTGTATATACATTCTGAAAAAGAACTTATTGAGAGTAAAGAAATATGCTCATTATTTTAGTTGCTCAAAAGATAAAGCAAATTGTTGCATTAATGTGAGAGAACTGATGAAATGGCAAGTTATTAACACAGATATCAGAAGGTGAGATCTCTGTAGTCCTTGGCTTTAATTTGTTTGGAATTCTTATCTTTTATCAGTTAATAACAAAATACCTCTAAGCCTACCTCTAGGCTTTCATTTCCTGCTTACAGGAAATAATTTTTGGATTATCTTGCCCTTTTTGTTCTCTCATAGAACTTTAGCTTTTACATTATCATGTTAATACAATTGCAGGATTTTTTCTAATGCTGATTCCAAAATGAACGCAAAGCTGACATGGAATCTCCCCCCCCCCCCCCCACACACAGAGATGATTTCCTTAATACTTGCAACATGCAATGTGGAAATCTGGAAAGCGTAATTAGGATATTTATGCACATTGTAGGAATTCTGATTTTTTCCATTTTACTTATCTTACATGACAACTTCATTATCAAAACCATGTTGTATATGTCTCATAAAAATAGTCAAACTGATTTGGCATTGAAAACAACTTGAGTAATTGTAACATGATAGCCCCAGTGATAATACTTATTTAATAAATATCTGACATGCATAAAGTCTGTCTAACTTAAGTCAGCCAGGTAGAATCAGAGGAGACTGTTAAGGAAGGTAGTCCCACCATTTACAGTAGATGCAACCACAGGCATCCTCATGCAACCAGATTAGCTCTTCAATAGACATAGGAGTCAGACTTTAATGAAGTAATGAACATTATGGTATCTGTCCTATAATGAATTGTTAGAATTCTAGAAACCTACATCTAAATCATGTGCCAAAGTTCTGGGAATTTAGCCTCACCTGTATTTGGTTAAGGAACACATCCATGACTCTTAAGTAGAATTGCCTAATTAGATTCTTATTTCCTGGGATTAGATAATACAACTATAATATTTAAACATTTGCACAATCTCTACACTTTAGAATTTATTCACTAAGTAAAATTTATTTTTATATATGATACTTCAATAAGTAATAGAAGGATGCCTTTGGTCTAATGTCAATTGCTAATCTCAATCTTTCACACAGTTGCCTCATTTATATATTCAAAGTAGGTAAAGGAGGAATGGTAACTCACTAAAACGTCTTTATAATACTTTTAATTCTGTAATCACACTCATTGGATTATAGCATGAAGGCTTCTGACAATATTAAAACACTCCTGGGAAAAGTGTCGAATTCTCTTTATTCTTTTTAAAAATGTAATGTTTATTCAGTGACATGAAAAGTGCATTTCTTGTTAACTGAAACATCAAGCTGCCCATCTTGGTTTGAGTATCAATCTTTAATGGAGTGCCATGCAAATGTTCGAATGGCTTTCTTAGAGAAAGTGCTAAACCGTTTCTGAAGTCTACTGATAAAAGTATAGTACTTTTAAAAAATAGTACAAGTCCGACGAAGCAAACAGAAATTGCTAGTTGTTGTATAGGAAGACAAAAGAGGAGTCAAGAAAGAAGTGTGCTTCTCTGCCACTTTCATGTGACAATCCACATCAGTCTTTCATCAGTTCTTCACGAGGCGTATATAAACCCTTGCTGGGGGAGGTGAGAGGCGCTTGAAGTGTTTCTTGTTCAGCATCAGAGTGCTGAACAGCTGGACAGCTCCCTGCGGGCAGCATTGCAAGCCTGTTTCCTTCTGCTCCGAACAGAGAAAACACAGTAGGGCTCCCACCATGCAGCCAGCAATGATGATGTTCTCCAGCAAATACTGGGCGCGACGGGGCCTTTCACTGGACTCAGCTGTGCCTCAAGAGTACCCATTATCCAGGAATGTAACTGTAAGTATCAAGCGTTTAAAGATACCAAACCATTATCTTGTCAGATTGTTTTAGAAATGTTCAGGCATTTCCAGATGACTGTTCTTTGGGGCCTTTTACTGAACAAATTTATTTGTTTGCTTGCTCAGAAAAAGCTTAGGAATCACCCCTTTCTCTCTGCAACACAACTGTCTCATTACAAATTATCTTTTTTTATATAGAAGACATTTTTTGAGACAAAACTTTCATTTGATTGTAGCCTTCACTTTTGTGATGAATGTTCCTAATGGTGGAAGTTAATTCAGTCTTACTTTCTCTGCCTTGAATGTTTTTTAAGTCCAAATTTTCTAGCCACCTACAGCAACTTATATATATATATAAGTACATTTGAATTAGTAAGATTTTCTCCCAGGGAAAGCAGTTGAATTTACATATAAGATTAAAAAAAAGATTGAATGCATTGCTGAAATCATAAACACAGGGATGGCAGTCATTGTGGCTGTCATTTAAAATCCAAACAGAAGGTTATAATATTTCAAACTATGGGAATACATAGTATATTACTATTACTACAACAAATAATATTAATAATTAGATATAAACAATGTTATGATCTGGCCCTCTATTAAAAAGATAATAAAACTTTTCTTGAAAATTCAATCATATGTCTTTGGGCTTAGTTTTATACATAAAAGTAGACATGCAGAAGAAACAAAAAAATCTACCTTACTGTTATACACAGCCTTTGTTATAACTTTAAAATGTTTAACCGAAATAAATATTTAAATTCTACACATTTTACAATGTTTCCTCAAATAATTTAAGATTAAGAAGATGGTTCTTGCTCTCTGAGCAAGGCGTTAGTGTCACAAAGTTATTTCTCTCTGTGTGTTTATACTTCCATCCATCTTTCTCTATCCATTTCTGTCTGTCTCTAGGATGGGTGATGGTGATGATGTTTCCTAGAACAGCCCTATTGGTGGCTGTTTTCAATTTAGCAATCCACAACTATATTGTGATTCTGATTATGTTTCCTTCTCAAACCGGTTGGCTATATTGTAATATAATAGACTTATACTTCTGTATATAAAGTCTCATAATGTACACAACTATATGTGTCTTATCACATTCACATCACATTCTCTGATTACAATTTTAGCTTCTCCCAGAAAGTACTTCATTTTCATAAAAACTAAAAGTGCTACATCATTTTTTTAAAATGAATATTTTTTATTATAGTTCAAAAAAACAAAAAAAACCCAAAGACAAATGTATAATATATAATAGTATAATATAATTCTGTCCACTTGCTACATCATTTTTTATTTGGGTTAAAATAGGCAACATTTGAGAGGCTGATCTTAGGTATATTTTTAAAAGATCACTAAAAATACACTATAAATATGCATTTACAGCATTTTAAAATATCCTATAGCTGTATAATCACTTGATTGTGATGAGTGCTTTTTTAAAGCCAAGCGTGGTTTTCTTAAGTCAAGTCTAGCACATTAGTTCAGTTGATAATTTAACAGCAGTTACTTTGTATTAGAAATTTGTAAATTTATCTAAGAATATTGATTGCTGTGAACAACACCATATCTAACTAACATGTTTTACTAGGTTAGAACTGTACTGCTAATTTCTATATTGGTTTTCTTGATCTTCATGGTTTTAGGTGGGCAAAAGGAATCATCACAATTCTAAATGTTGTTTGAAATGTGGTAGGAAAACAATTAAATGTGAATTATTTTTAGGACGAGCCAAAATATGAATATGAATATTTTTGGGAAGTTATCAGTGTAGATTATTTTCCTCCTGAAGCAAAATAAGATACTTGTTATTTTTTATTTAATTGTAGCACAAATGGATAGACTTGTGTTAAACTGATTGAACTTGGCCTGTTCAGTTAGGAATCCTTCAAATTACATGGATAATTATTTTCAATTTGGAGGATTACTTGCAAGCCATATAACAATTGAAACATTTCTGTTTAACTTCATGCACAGTATAGCATCTGTTTGGGAGGCATAATTGGATTGAGTTTCTCAATTTATATACCTTCTATTCATATAAAAACCCAGAAAAATACATATGGTTGTCATGACAATTTGCAAATCTTTTGCAGGCTATGTGTACCAAGCAAATATATTTTGGGGGATTATTTATTTATTTTTCCAAGGAATAGGTTTTTTAAAATTATAGTCAAAGACCTGAAAATCTCAATAAAAGAATTTTTTTATTGTTTAACTAACAATAAAATAGATGTATTTAATCTTTAAATAAAGATTAAATGGTTGTAAAATGATAAAACTAAGATAAAAGAGTTCAGTTTGATAAACTCTACGTGCAGTAAAATTTTTTACAACATTGACAGAGATTACATCATTTTGGTCAAATGACAGTAAATATCAAAGGTAAATTTAAATTTGAGTGGCCGTAACAATTGCAATCTATTCAAAGTATTTGCCACTGCTTATGTGTCCCTACGAACACTTTGCTTTATTTTTAATGCTAATTATACTTGAGCAACAATAAGGAATGGCTTTCAGTAGATTTTAAAAACTCTCCTTCCTACATTAGCTGTCTCATATGATTAAGGGAATTCATTGATGTTAATGGAAATAGCTCTAATAAATATCCTCATGTTAAAGGATACTAAATTCTTATCAACCAGGACTGAAGCATGCTAATGTTGATGCCCATTGAAATTATATGGAGATATATGGCTTGCTTTTTGCAAGTTTACTGAGAAGTGATAAGGAAAAAAATAGATATGAATGACAAAGATTGTATTGAAGAAACCAAGAAAGGAACGGTAGAAGGGAAGTTAAAGGAAAATACTGTCATGCACTTTACAAAGCAGCAAATACAGCTTTATTGCTCAGCATTAAGTTGAAAAGGAGCCTAATGATTACAGATCCCTAAAAAAGGATATCTGTATAATAATAATTATTATTTTTAGCAGAAAAATAGATCTACAATTTTTTAACTCTAACCCCTGTAAAAGATATTCAAATGATGTGACAAAAATCTTAGTATATCCTGTGATAATCTATAAAAGTGAAAGTTGGATTTTAAAGAAGCAGAATAGGAAGAGCACAGATACTTTTGAACTTTAGTGTTGAAGAAGACACCCAAGAAAACCATAGACAGCCAAGAAAACAAACAGAGTCATCAAATACATCAATCCAGAGTTCAAATGATGAGGCTCAAGTAATCTTACTTAGACACATTATGTGAAGACCTAGCTGTCTGGAAAAGGTTCTAATGCTAGGAAAACTGAAAGGGAAAAAGAAAAAAAGGATGCAAGGTGAATGGATTCAGTTAGAGTAGTACACCATGGGGAGAAAAGGTTAGAAATAGATCATCAGGGAGAAAATCAATGTGATCATTTGGAGCTACTTAAACAATCAAATCAATCAACACTAATTTAATTGTCTTTTTATCTATCCCACTTCAAATGAATGTATATTCATGATTCAAAATTAAGCTTCCTAAGAAAAAAAGGCAGAGATAGGATGGCCTTGATCATTCTGAAAATACTTTAGAAGTTGTTGTACCCTTATAGCAGAAATATGCAAGCTTCATTTAGCCAAGGGCTAAAATATTAAAATGCTAAATATTACTATACTTAAACTGGGAGTAACATCCTGCAAAGTGAAAGGGTATAATAACAACTTTGATTTAAAGCAATCTAGGTTTAAATTATACTACTCAAGTTAATGTTTATTTTTATTTATTTAATTTTAAAATTATATCATTCTACCCCAGTAGAAAATTCTCTTCCTTCATCTCCATCCAATAATTTTAATTCTTTGATTATAAAATTAGGTAAAAACATTAAAAATGTAAGAACTGTAAAACAAGAGAAATAGTAAACTTTGAGGAGGCTCTGGAGGCATCATCCAGGGCTTTGTGGGTAGTACAAGTTCTGAATATCCAAGTTAAATATCCTAATTAACCATGTGTTTGGAAGTAAACAGCTTTTTGTTAGATTTGTTTGTTTGTTTGTAGGCAGGTAAAAATAAAGATTGAAACCTTTCTATGTTGGAAATATTCAGAGGCTGTTCAATCTTTTCAGTCACAAATAATGACTGATATGAGTGATTGAAACAGGATAAGAATTACTATTGGTCCACAATCAAAGATCCAGCTATTAGATGCATAATATTAATGTTTTTTTTTAAAAAAATTGATTTATATGCTGTCCTTCTCCGGAGACTCAGGGCGGCTTACATGTTCTGTAAATTTTATTGATTCCCCATTTGGCTCCAGATTAAAATAAAAATACTTGTCCATGATTTTAATAGCTTTGTAGATAATGATTTTGTTATGCAGAAGAGAGTAGCTGTCCCCCATGTTTGTTCATTCATTCATTCGTTCGTTCGTTCATACATCATTCAACATCATAACATTGTTAGCTTCTGTGTTATAGCCTGTATATTTAATTTCCTGTAGAGTGTCCACTGAATAGGTTATTATAAATATAATAAACAATATCTTCTCTTATTATAATCAGTTTCATAATAAGTGAGACTAAATTTTCTCTTCCTTCATCTCCATCCAATAATTTTAATTCTTTGATTATAAAATTAGGTAAAAACATTAAAAATGTAAGAACTGTAAAACAAGAGAAATAGTAAACATTTTCATAATGTTATGAAATATATCAATATATAAAGTATGAACATTTTGAATAAAAAACTACTAAAAGCACATTAAAAAAATTATATGTATATTTTGGCCATTTAAGTAAGCATCATATTACCAATCTTGTTTCAATTCTTTTTCTCCAGATAATAAATGTTGAATAAATTGCTATGGTATCATTTAACTGTTATTTATATCTAAGTATTCTAAATTCCTGCTACAGATGGGCAATGCTGAAAGCAAACTAATTCATTCAAGCATGTGATCAAAGATTTCCTTAATTAAACAAAGTTAATTGTGTTTTAATTAAAGTAGTGTAAGGGCATTCAATGTTGATGAAAATTATGAACAACAATTTTTCATCACTTTGACATAGGGGATGTGTTGATTTTCCCAAGGAATTATATTTATATGAGACATTTCACTTTGAAGAATATCTGTGGAGATTCTCAGTCATCCAGGTCATAGTTGACTCAAAGATGCTTTTTCAAAAGGCAACAGAACTGTTTTTTCCTAAGGAAGAAGAAAAAGACGTTTTGCTTCTCATCCAAGAAGCTTAATCGAGTCTGGCAATGGAAAGATTAGTTCTGACAGGATGGGGGAGGGGGTGGAAGGATCATATTCCTTTGTAGTCATCTGATTGTTAGCACTCTCCCTGAAAATTCTTGAGGCTACTTGTGGATTTATCTGTGCCCTCAAGGTCACCTGTATCAGAGTGCAATTAGAGGTGGAATCTTCTTGAAACTGCTTCAAGGGCTGTGTTGTAGACCGGAGATAGGTAATGTCATATCCCTCCCCCTCTGTTGAGAGAGGGCTGCTCAATTTTAATATTAATGGCCTGTCTCTTAACAGAGACTGTGTTAACATTGGGCAGTCCTCTCTCAACTGATAAACCCCCAAATGGTCTCAAGAGCTTTCAGGGAGAGTGCTAATGACAGATGACTGCCAAAAAAAAAAAAATCCTTCCACCACCACTACCCATCCTGTCCAGTGGCGGGATTCAATTTTTTTTTACTACCGGTTCTGTGGGCATAGCTTGGTGGGTGTGGCATGGCTTGGTGGGCGTGGCAGGGGAAGGATACTGTAAAATCTCCATTCCCTCCCCACTCCAGGGGAAGATTACTGCAAAATCCCCATTTCCTCCAGATCAGCTGGGACTCGGGAGGCAGAGAATAGACAGGCCAGTCAGACGTGGTATTTACTGGTTCTCCGAACTACTCAAAATTTCCGCTATCGGTTCTCCAGAACTGGTCAGAACCTGCTGAATACCACCTCTGATCCTGTCAGAACTAATTCTTCCATTATCCTCACCATCCTTCCAGAACTGTTGAAGTTTCTTGGATGAGAAGCGAAACATCTTCTTCCTTAGGAAAAAAACCGTTCAGTTGCCTTTTGAAAAAGAACTTTTTAAGTTCACTTTGCAGAGTTGTCCTTCCAAGTTTTCATCCTACATAGAAAGATGCTTCAAGCCTGTTTTGCACTGAGCCTGTAAGTATGAATTGATATTTTTAAAATATGTACAGGTAATCCTTGAGTTACAACTGTAATCGAGCCTCCTCATTATGATTCTAAGGTGTTATGGTCATAAAATAGGTCTGTCAAGTGATTTACTTTTTTTGTGGTAGTCAATATCCAAATCGTTCTTTCATTTTATTGATCAAAGCTTAGGAAGCTTTCTCTGTTCTTTCACACATCCAAAAAAATGCTTTAAATTATTGCTCAGTAAAACCATGCATTTTGGCCTTCCCCCAGCCTATTGGAGACCCACTGGAATGAGAAATTCAGTTGCAAGCAAAAATGAACAAATCTTTCCAAGACAATAAAGAAAGTGCAAGTTATATTTTCTATCAACTACTTCTTTTATAATTTGAAAATTGTGCTCTTTGACTCTTTCCCTGGTATTCAAAGGCACCTGTGATGGAAAAGGGATGTAATATTCTGCACATGATTCATGTTTGAATTTATAATGTAGACCTCAGAATCCATAATTGTTTTCCAAAAACATGGGAAATTTTTATTTTTAATTGGGAGCAAAATGTTACTTTTAAAAATAAAGAAAAACTGAGATTATAACAGCTTTCATTCCACAATGCTCTTTTGTTAATTTCATTTAGAACAATCTTTCATTTATGTTTGCAACCTATAATTGCTAACAACCTGTAAAGGCCCTGAATGTGCTTTTTAAGAGAGAGGAAAAAAAAAACTAAGCAAAACTTCACTTTTGAAAGAGCTATATAAATTCTAAGATCAAATAAAGGAAAGGTTAATTATTGTTGAGGGGTACGTGAAAATGCTTGTGATCTGTATTTTCTTTCAGCTAAACAAAACAAATTCTGGTAGAAGTGATGATAAAAAGGCTAATAAAGGTACGAGCAAGAATGAGTCAACATCTGAGGGTGGCAAAACTGCTGTGGTGTTTTCTTTAAAAAATGAAGTTGGTGGCTTGGTAAAAGCTCTCAGACTTTTCCAGGTAAAAATTATTTTACTATTTGTTTTCATAATAATATATTGATTGAAAAATGTGCATCGTGCTTGTATAAAAGATAATGTGCATGGTATGTCTATTACCGTAAATCACAAGGCACTAGATTCACTTAAACACAACAATCCATTGATTAGTGAGTAATCCAGCTGAGTTCACACATTGTGCTTGGCCATTCCACGATTTATCATTCAAAATGGCTTGGTTTGCATAATATGAACAATTAAAGTCAAGCAAACCACATTACAGCATAAAGTGAAGCTAATCATTTTATCGTATATTAACTGCAAATCAGAATCTTGCTTCTGACATGCTAGAAGTAATTGTTTATTATGAGTTGGCTTAGCCTGTACTTTCAGTTTTCTGAAATCATATATTTCAATCTTAATAATAGTTTTGGAATTATTAATATCCTTGGATACCAAGATTGGTAGCAATAGCTAGAAATGTTTTCTGTTAGCTCCAGCTCCAGCTCCAGCTCCCATACTCATCTAGAACAGGGGTCACCAACCTTTTGGACCTCAGGGACCACTAAATTCATAATTTTAAATCCCGCAGACCGCTAATACTAATCCAGTGCACCACTCGCTGAAGCGCCTGGATTCCTAGTGAGGGGATGGGGTCCTTCAGGTACTTAGTTTGGCCATCTGTTTCTGCAACCTTAAACACTCAAAGAGCCATTTGGACCTGTTTCCCACAGAAAACAAAACACTGGGATCTCTCATCTCTCTCCCCCACTCTTTGTCTGCTGTCTCTCTCTCTCTCTCTCTCTCTCTCTCCCCCCCTCTTTCTTTGTCTGTCTCTCTCTCATCTCCCTCTCTCTTTCTCTCATCTCTCTCTTTCCGTCTCTCTCTCTCTACATCTCTTTGTCTGTCTGTCTGTCTATCTCTCTGTCTCATCTTTCTCTCTCCCTCCCTCCCCTCTCTTTGTCTGTCTCTGTCTCTCTCATCTCTCTTTCTCTCTCATCTCTCTCTCCCACTTCTCTTTCTCTGTCTGGCTGTCTGGCTGTTTGTCTGTCTCTCATCTCTCTCATTCTGATTCTCCAATGGTCTCTGGATCTCGTGCGTGGTTCTTTGTTGGTGCTGGATGTACCTTGGTCGCTCGGGGAGATACACAACCTGCTCTCCGCCCCAAGACACTCGCCCAACCCTGTTGCAGCTGATACTCCGCATCGTAATGGGCTCAAGGAGAGAAGGGGATGCCGTCTCCCCCATTGTGAAGTGCACTAAATTTAACTGCACTGCAAGAGCAGCAGGCAGGCCATGGAGGTGCCAACAGCAGCAGTGGAGAGAAACGTCTGGGCTGGGCCGGAATCTTGGGGCTGAGAGGAAGTTGTGCGTCTCCCCAAGAGACCAAGGTGCATGGAGCACCAACAAGAGCTGGAAGAAATGCCCGCAAGATCCAGCAAGAGATGAAGCTTTACTCCCGCAATGGAATATGGAGTGAATCTCCATCCCACGCCCTTCCATTCTCAGGCCAGGCAAGGAGTGACTGGGACGGTGAGGGGCAGGGACAGCCAGTGGTGTGATTATCCAACAGGAAGACACAGCAGGGGGAAGAAAGAGCCGCTGGTTGCCAACACCTGTTGCTTCAGCTCACCTGCACTGCCACCCCCCTTGCACCATTACCTCATTCCGGCCAGCAAGGGCTGCACTACTCCTTGCACATTGCACCTCCTGCAAAATTGCAAGTTGCATGTAGCTCCCTCTACGGTGGAGATTTCAAGCCCCACCACAAGCTGCCTGGCCAGTCCCATATTCCAGAGCTCTAGTCACAGGACTGGCCATTGGTCATCCTGGACTAGCTCGGGTGTGCTGCAAAATTTTCTCATGGACCGCCAGTGGTCCGCAGACCACTGGTTGGTGACCTCTGGACTTGAATATTCAATCCTGTCTTCCTCCATTCTTGCTTTAGTTACACTTCTTTCAGCTATTGCAATTTGCTTTATATCACATGAAGATAAATTTCAGAAGTTGGAATATTTTAGCTGAGATTCATAGATCAGCTCTTATGCTATTTAACTTTATTGCCTAGTTATTTATTTCTGCATTCAGTTTAAAATACTAGCTTAACCATTTTAAACAATCATAAGTACCCTGAAGTCTAAATTGAATGCCACATCTAAATTTAAATTTCTCTGGAATAAGTTAACGGAATTCACAATTGCAATTTAGGGTTGCTAGTTCTGTTATTTGATTTGCAAGGGTTGTTTTAAAAAACATTAGGTCTTGACTAAGTTATACATCTAGCCAATGTTATGCATCTGAGCTATTCAGCTATATATTGTAATGTTTTACTAAAATAAAACATGGTATTTCAGTACTTAGATAATGAAAAGTAGTAAGTCTTCAGTTGATAGGGATTTCTATGCTGTGGATTTTTTATCATGCATTTGGCCTTCTGCTTTGGGAAGGTTATAGATGACAGAACAATGCTAGTGTACTACCAAACTATTTCACTTTTTTTCTATTATGCTTGTCATAAATTTGGTATGGGATTAGTAGCATCTCTAGTATATATGAATGATGGTTTTATATGAAATTGCCATGGTAAATCAATTTTAAATTTTAATTATTCTAAGGTATTTATATTTTTTCATGGAGGTTTATAATGCAATAAAGGAGTGAATGCAATAATAATTTTATAGTAGTTTATTTCTGGCTAATGCACAAATAATTAATTTCTTTTAATAGAAATACCTGGATATCTATTCTAAACTACCACCTATTAAGACCTAAGCATTTAATTTCTGCTTTTCCTTTGCACTGGGTTAACTCTTTTTTTCGTCTGTTTTCAGGAGAAGCATGTGAGTATGGTTCATATTGAATCCAGAAAATCCAAGCGAAGGAATTCAGAGGTAGAAATTTTTGTGGATTGTGACTGCACCAAGAAAGAATTCAATGAGCTCATTCAGCTGTTAAAGTATGAAACAAACATTGTGACTCTGAATCCTCCAGAAAACATCTGGACTGATGAAGAAGGCAAGAATATTGTTTCTTTTCCTCATCTGTTTTTTTCCCCCCATTTTATTATGAAATCAACCCAATTGTATGAAGACGCAGAGAAAAATGTTTGATTCCCTTCCATCTCTTTGTTTTTTCCAGAGTTGGACTGTGTGCCTTGGTTTCCCCGGAAGATTGTTGAATTAGATAAATGTTCCCAGAGAGTTCTCATGTATGGCTCTGAACTGGATGCAGATCACCCTGTAAGTGTTTAGAGAAGATCCAGAGAGGCTCACCAAATAATCTACTAATAATGTAGCAAATGATTTAAATGAATGAATGCAATATATTATCTATTTTAAGCAGTTTTGGTCCAATCTGTTTCTTAAGTACAGACCTCACATTTTGATTTGTCTTCAGATGTATTTCTGTCTTTCTGGAACATTCATATGTCAGATTTAGATGGGTTTGTGGATTGCTGCTTCTGTTTCAGAAGTACACTAGAGAACTTTGAGACACAATTTTCATTTCTCTCCATTGCAAACAATGCAAGAGTTATAGTTCTAAATCATAGTGATATTCATGCACACTGCTGTATGAGCTTTTAAAAATATAGATATTAAATTAACATTCCAGGGAGTGTGAGGGGCATATGGAAATCTGGTAACACTCCAGGAGATAATTATAAAGTAGAAATCATAGCATACTTCAGCAGGAATGCAGCTGGCACATAGGTTCTTTGGGTTTTTCCCTCCCTTATTTTTAACACTTTGGCCCCATTTCAGCTCATGTTTCACTGTCTGCAGGCCCACATACTGCCTGAAACCATTGCATCCAAAACTTGAGGAAATTAACCTATTGATACTGTTTGTCTTGCTTTTGTTATTGCTCTGCTCACTCCTCACAGAGTAAACTCAGCTTTTAGTAAATCTTGTAACTCCTAAATCATCCAATAGTAGAGATATAATATTGTGTATTATTTAAAGCACACAGGAACTTACTCTGCAACTATCACTACCCCTACCCTCACTCCCTGTTCTTCATAGGATTATGCTAGAGGTGAGAGTAGGGCTTTCATTCCAATATTGGATATTTTGCACATAGACATTTTGTAATATTTTGGAAATTTGAGGAAGGTGTGTCATATTTTCTCTGGGAACTTTTCCTGCTATCTCAATAATCCAAGTCATGGTAGTCCAAAGGTGCTTTTCCAAATGGCAACTGGACTTTCTTGGTTTTTTACCCTTGAAAATGTTTCACATCTCATCCAAGAAGCTTCTTTAGTTGTTAGTTTTTAGAACTGAAGAAGCTTCTTGGATGAGAAGTGAAATATTTTCAAAGAAAAAAATCAAGAAAGTGATGTTGCCTTTTGGAAAAAAATCATGGGAATTTGCGCCCATGATTGATCAGTTCCTTCAGGGAATGTTGGGGAGTTCTGTGCAGTATGGCTGTATAATACTTTGGATTCAGTTATCCCAAAGGTGTTTTTCAGAAGGCAACTGGACTTTCTTGAAGCCCAATCAAATACTGTATATTTAATGCTTTGGAACCCAAGCTCAATCGTTTATATGCCTCAGCATTGTTTTCTGAGAACAAGACCTCTAAGACCTGGCCTTTATTTTAATGAAATAAAGTCAGATGCAAGGTCAATAAATAAATGAAAGATGTCAGATTCTACATTCCTTTGTTCTATCTCCACCCAATGTCTATGGAGATTCTCAATTATCTGGGTCAGGTTGTCCCAAAGATGCTTTTTCAAATGGCAACTGGATTTTCTTGGGGTTTTTTCAAATGTTTTGCTTCTCATCCAAGAAGCTTCTTCATTTCTTTTTAGGACTAAAATGTTTTCAAGGAAAAAAACTAAGAAAGTCCAGTTGCCTTTTGGAAAAGCATGTTTGGGACATCTTCACCCAAGATCCATGGGACACACAATAGGCAAAGATAACAACAGATTTTTGTCCCCGTTCCACCTGCCCCATAATCATCTTTTAGTATTTGTGAGAGAATTTGAGGCTGAGACTGGTAGAGGAAAGATACCTCCAGTAAAAGTCCTAGTGACTTATTAATGTTGCTTATTCTGGTTTTGTCTATTTACTTAGAAATAATTCTAAGAGGCCTTGGAAAGATTTGAAACTTGAAAGGCAAGTTAATCATAACAAGTAAATAATACAATGAGAAAAAAAATCTCTACTTAACAGATATTTGCAATTGTAGATACAAAAAAGATGGAGCAGATTTTGGAAGCTAAATCTTAAACATGCTTGGGGTAACTACTAAAAGATTTCAATTTGGGAAAAGTTGTTTTCCCGCTCTTGCATGTGGGTAAACTGCTTTCAGCTCTGAAGGTGGTATGAATGAGAATGTTCATAAGTATTTAAAACTTGGATGATTTATTTAACCATCTTTTCTATCACTTCCCTGCCTCTTTGGTATAAATTAATTATTTTTATTTGTTTCAGGGATTTAAGGACAATGTTTACCGACAGAGAAGAAAATATTTTGTAGATGTTGCCATGAGTTATAAATAGTGAGTACTCAATATTTTTTAAACTTTCCATTTTAAAGTCTTTATACTCAAATGCAAGAAAGATACGCAGCTCTCTTTTTCTTGAATATAAAATTTGCAATAGGCAGATGGTGATCATTAAGCTGTAACTATTTATATTACCAAATTGGCACGAGGAACACAAAAGTTGAGTTTATTTGGATTGAAATTTGGAACATATCAGTATTGGTTCATCCAACTTTGTTTTGCTTCCGTAAATTGGCCATCTTTTCTAGCCCAAGCAGGATTGAAATTAGGATTTCTGCATGCGAAATGTAAGTACTGTCTCTGAGTTCTGGAACTATAGTTCTTTTCCATTGTGCTTCTGGCCATGACAGCATGCATTTACGGCAATGGCTCAAGAAACTGGACAGCTGGGTTGGATTGAACTGAAATAGTTACTCATGATATGAGTAACAGTAGACCAATTGACTTGATCATTATATCTAAGGCTTAAAAGGGAAAAAGGTATCTGGAGCAAATGCAGCTTTCGTAGTCCTTGATCAGTGATTGTCTTATTCAGTAACCATTCACAATCACAATGAAAATGGCCAACGTCGGCATTTGCAACTTTTGTAGGCAGGTACAACCTTTGTAAAGCAAAGGAAATCTGATGTAAAATCAGAAGTATAGACACTGTTTCACTTAGCAACAGCTTTGCTTAATGACCAAGTTGCCAGCCAATTGTCACTAAATGAGGACTACCCAAACATGTGTTATGATGTCATAATGCATAATCATAAGATTCATCACAAGGAGCCAAATTTGTATTATAATGTATTGTGATACATGCTCTGTCACTTTCCCTCTGTGTCCCCTCAGAGATACTTATAAAAGGAGACTCTGCTTCTTTGTTCAGATGGAAAGGTTGGAAAGGTTGTAATGGGTGGGTTGGCATTTTCCAGGGAAAGTTTAGCTGCATGTGAAGGTTCATGTCTGCTAGTCATCCCTTTTCTGCAAAGAGCAGAGCACTAGCTATTGAGAGAGGGTGGACTGCCTCTACCTTTTCCTGATATGATTAGGCCATTTATTTATTTTTCTCTTTGATATAACTGCCCATTTCATACATGTGATTCATTTGCTTGATTATGAGGGATGTTTCCCCTCCTTTGGGTGCTTGAGTCCCAAGACAAATAGCTATAATTCTGCTTTTCCCAGTGTGGATGTCCTGCAGATCTATAGACATTAGCTATCAAAGTACCCCAACTACTCTGGCAATTATTGGAAACAGTTCTGGTCAGAAAACATCCTGGAAATTGAAGCATAGTCTTGAAAAGGGGTTTGGATTGGGGAGACTGGCTATATGTTTTGAAAAGACAGATCTTGTCAAGCACTTCTTTACATTTATGGTCTCCCAAAGGCTTTTTCTTCATGCCATATGCTCTGCCATCAGATTGATGGGCTCCTAGAAAAGGATTTATATAAGATGTGCTTGCTTGCTTCCTTATTTATTTACATATATTTCATACAATAATTTTCCCACTAGCAATGTACAGCACTTTCTAGAGTCATCCAACCTTTACTTGTGCCAAAACAGCAGTATGAAGACAGGCACTATATCATATCAATAATGGCTAGGCGGATGGTATGAAAATACTATAAGTCATCAGTGAGGAAATAGTATGCATTTATATACATTGCCTAGTAGCAATAAACGACTAAAAAAAAAATCCAAAAGCAAAATATAATATTAAAACAGAATGATCATAAAACTCTAAATGGCAGCATGGAATTGCAGTAAAGAGAGAAAAATAAAACACAGAAAACATAAACCCTGGGAATGCTTCCAGGGAGTTTATCTAAGCCTGTGGATATGTTGTGATTGGTTGCATAGTTATCAGTTAGATATTCCAGCCATCACAATGCTGAGTGGAACAGAAGAAATTGGGAGCACTGTTTTAATTGGTATATTTTAACATGTGTCATATGCAAATTAAACTGAATAAAGTGTCACAGATAGCTCTAAGGAAATGGAGGATTGAGACCAAGAATTGCTGAACTTTTGATTTTTCTAAAGATACCCACATATCTCATTATCCAAATGTCTGTTATATCATTTGCCATGATGGGCATGCTTTATGCTGGACTTCTTTGCAATGATTTAGCAGTGATATTTCTACTGCCCCACCCAGTTCTGATCTTCCTGCCACATATTGATTACTCTTCTATTGCACATGTGTTAATCTTCATAGCACCTTCCTTCCCTCCTTCCTGTTACTCCATTTCTTGATCTTTCTACCACTTATCTGTCAACTTTTAAAATATTTTTCCAACTCTCATCAGACTGCCAAGCTACCACCTATATCCACAATCCATTTATGTAATATATAGATTTTAAATAGTATCAAATGCCCATGATTCATCATGCACACAAGCACACATATTTTGGAAGCCTGGATTATATTATAAGGTCTTCCCTGGCTCTTTTGCAGGCCTTGTTTTGGATCCAAATGGGGAAATGTAACCTTCTATTTCAGTGATGTGTTTCCAATACTAAGCCTGTATTAAGTAAGCAGACTCACCTAAGGTCTGAGTTAATATAGCGGTCTTACACCACTCTCCATTTTTCATACTGAGCTTCATCTCCAATTATTTTCAGTCAAAAAAATTCAGGCCACATTTTAAAGGGCTCCAATAAAATTAAACTCAATATAGGATTATATAGTTGCAGTGTAATATATGTAAATTTACTCCCAGGCCAATCCATTTGAGTTCAATTGGGCCTTCTCTCACCAAAGAAAGTATGCATAGTAGGCTTCCCAACTTAATTTATATGCAATAATATCAATTCTTTAATATCTTTAATACATATGGAGCTTTTTCTCTTAAATATGTGTCATTTATTCATTCATTCATTTGTTCATGGCAGACCAGGCCCACAGATTGAATTCATTATTATTCCCAGGAGTTGGTAAATTTCCAGCACAACCTACAAATACCTGCTGTTTTGCAATTTTCTTGTCACATAAGTTTCCAAGTCAACCTAATTCCAATTGTGTTCTCATTTTACTTGTAATGGGCCAAACTTCACACTTCAAAGCAGGCACACTCTAATTCTATGTACTCTTCAATTTGATGGTTCCTTTTTCAATTGTGAATCCTTTCTTTCCTTCCCCTCCAACTCCTTTGTGGATTCACTCCATTCCTGAATATTATAAGCAAAGAAATGGAAAGGGGGAAATATTTCTTTTTGTTGCAGACAGGAAAAGAGCATGCCTAAAAGCTTATTAAAATATTTATTTTATGGACATATATATGAAATGAAGAATGACTAACAAAAGAAGAGGGAGGAAATTTGTATTTTACAAACAGAGCTGTTCTTCCCTCTGTATGAACTACCACTGCCTTATTAGCATTTAGTAAGGATTTCCTAAATACAGTACTTTAGTGCATAAGCTCCTGGATATGGTTTAGGAACATTTAACTAGTTTCAGGCTGGGCTGACCTATTTTTTTTTCCTGATTACCTGCTGTGCCAGTTTTTCTACATTTAATGTAAGAAAATAGAAAATGTTGAAATGTGTGTACAATTTGGCTTAATTAACACATGCTAATGAGTAGTGACTCCCGCTATCCCTGGATAGATGATTAGCGCTGTTTTTCAAATTGCTTTAACTCTTTCCACCAGGACAGTATTTTCTTCTGAATGATTACTCTTACAGCACTGTACATTGCTCTGATATGCTGTGACCCAAACCAATGTTCTAAATAGCGGAAGGTTTGGCCCCAGCCACTAGATGAGGCTCAACACATGCCAGATAACAACAACAGTATATACATAACTGTATGATGGAGGCATGACACCCTACATCTGTGATATGTTGTGCAGCATTTGTTTTCATGAAGAATCCATATGCACCTTAAAACTAAATGCATGGTTAGTTAACTTTCTGAGAGAATTAAAATGGAATTTGACTAAACATATATGGGAAGCTATTGGTGAATATAGTTGAATATATTTTAGCTCTGGGAGCTAAAAATTAATTTTAATAATCTCAGAGGAATAATCAATATCACTCCATAAAAGGAGAAGCTAATGAGAAAAGGAGCTAAAAAAGGCAGGAGTACATAATGAAGGAAATGTAATAGTAAACAATTCCAAGGAAGAAGAAAAATGTCAGCAGAAGAAGCCAATATAGCTGCACAAAAAGCTTAGTGAATTTCTAAAACCCAAAGAGAATAGAAATGGTCAGAGAGACAAGTACTTCACCAAGGAGGAGTGCAAACATGAATCAGGAAAACTCATAATTAGATGGTGAAGCAAGTGAAGAAGTAGGACTTCTTTAGCTATGCTCAAATGGCAAAATGACAACAAAGAAAAGGCAGAGCTATTCATCACGTATTGTGGCTTAGTATACTCCAGTGCAGATTGTTCAATCAGCTAATTGGGGAGAGAAGGATGAAAGGGAGGCTGAAGCTTGAGATTGATAGAAAAATGGCCAAAGAGTATCTCTTGAACGCAGGATCAAATTAATGGCATCTTGGGGAATGAAGGAAATTGCCAGTGTGGCTGAACCTTAATGTCTTCAATTGGAAAAATCAGGGGAAGCTGGCAAAATAATAGACGATTGTCAGATGTTGTTTCTACATTTTCTATATGGGATCCTACTATATTTTTTTCTCCTATTCATGACCCAGCAAGCCTCTTTTCCAGAGACAACGCTGTTAAATTATTATAATAGGAACTAGTTATTATATTCTTTTGAAAGACTAGAAATTATTTGTTTACCTTTTAAACTTTTAAACTTTTATTGCTGATTGTATATTAATATTTTTCTGTAAATTTTAACATGTTCAATCTATGGAGCTCTCTTTTTACTATGTTTACTATAATGTGTACATTTTATGATTTGTGTTGGTTATATTTTAATACTTCTTTTGCAACTTTAATAAGAGCTAGATAACTACATTTCTATACAGGACCACCCCCCATCACACACATTTAGCATAACCCGGGATCCAAATTATCATGTAAAAGCAAAATTCAAACACAAAATATGAACAATGTCATTGTTTCCAAATTGCTCACCAAAATATATACCGGGAAGGAAAAACCCCCTCACCTTTTAAAAATTCCCAGCTAATGATGGACATTACAGAATAATGAATCATTAGATTTATTTAGCAGACAATGTTTATTACAACACTATACCTTTTATATATTATGGCTCTCTTTCTGCTTTTCACAAGGTAATGTATAAATTGAATATTAAATTTTGACAGAATTGGTGAAAAGCATGGATTGGACTGACAATCCTTTTAAAATAGCTATTTGGGGGATTGGTAGCAGAGGTGGTATTCAGCCAGTTTGCGCAAACCATTGGTGGAAGTTTGGCCAAGGTCGCCAAACTAGTAGCGATGGCCAGCTGGCCATGCCCCCAAACCGATCCCCTAGTCGCTGCTCTCTCACTCTGCCTGCCATGTTTGTTGCCGCCATGTTCTTTGCACACGTGCATCCCATTGCCTTGCAAGTCCAATGTGATGTGCATGCTCAAAGAACATGGTGGTGATGGCGGCAGCTTTTGCCATGACCTCCAGGACTTTTTGGTGACCTGCGGCCAGCTGCCGCAACCATAAAGTGGCTCTCAAAGATGGGAGGCTTCTTTGCTAGCCGCTTTCCAGCAGTGGCAGCTGGCTGAGGGCTGCTGAAAACTCCGGTCAGCTTGCCTTCTGGACTCTGGACCAGCCGCCATGGAAAGTAAGCAGCCCAAACAAAGAGCCGTGGTGAGGGAGGAAGCAGAGCCAGGGCCACTAAAGGAGTGGAAATGGGGGTGACTGGCGAAGGGAGGGCAGGGGTAAATAGGTGGAAATTCCCAAAATTTTCCTACCTTTTCCTGTGGGCATGGCTAGGTGGGGGGAGGGTCATGTGACTGAGTGGGTGTGGGCATGAGTGACGTCAAGTTGGCCATGCCCACTCAGTCACATGCCCCCCCCAGCCACGCCCACCAAATCAGTAGTGAAAATTTTTGAAACCGACCACTGATTGGTAGAGATATTGACAGTTTAGAAAATGTAATTGGACAAACTACTGTTTTCTCAGTGTTTATTTGTTCTTGATTTTTTGTTTTAGTGGCCAACCAATTCCTAGAGTAGACTATACACCTGAAGAAATAAAAACTTGGGGCGTGGTGTTCAGGGAGCTTTCAAAACTCTATCCTACTCATGCTTGTCGAGAATATTTGAAAAATTTCCCATTACTGACAAAGTACTGTGGCTATAGAGATGATAATGTCCCACAGTTGGAGGATGTCTCTATGTTTCTTAAAGGTAAGCATCAAACTTAGTTTCCAGGTAAGGAAAGTACTATAAAAGCAGTTACATAAAGCATGTTAATATTTTTCTCTCTCCTGATATGTCTGTTTGGTAATTTAGTCTTAGAACATTTCCACTGCATCCTTCCAATATTTATACTCCTCCAAATCTTTTACAAATGAGCCTTGGTGGTGCAGCGGACTAAAGTGCTGTTAAGTAGCACTTAGCTGCCAGCTGCCTGCAATTACTGCGAGTTCAAATCTCACCAGGCTCAAAGTTGACTCAGCCTTCCATTCTTCCGAGGTAGGTAAAATGAGGACCCGGATTATGGGGGCAATAAACTGACTTTGTATAAAAAAGAACACCGCTTGGGGGGGCTGAAAGCCCTACTAAGCAGGTATATACAAAAGAATGAAGGCTATTGCTTAACGCATTGTAAGCCATCCTGAGTCTCCAGAGAAGGGCGGCATATAAATCAAACCAATAAATAAATAAATAAATAAATAAATAAATAAATAAATAAATAAATAAATAAAATAGTTTGAAACAGATTTTTATTAGATTCCTCTTTGCTGCTCAAAACATTCTATGTGCATTGTCTTATCTATGTTTAGATAAAGAACACCATGAACCAACCCGTTTTCCTACTTTGTGTGTATCAGATTACTTGTACATACATATATACATATATACAATACATAAGAGATTGTTATGAGTGGAACATACATGGGAAAAGCTGTAAAATATAAACATATTTCTTGAATCCTTTCTGCAAAAGTTCCACTTATTGGGAGACCAGCTAACTTTTGTATTTGAAATCCCTTATGACATGTGAAGCTGAAATAACTTCCATGCTAAAGATATTGCAAGCAGGAATTTTAACCAATAGCTATGACCATAGTGGCATGTGTTGAACTTAAGGACTGGTAGAGTAAAGAAGATATGTTGTAAGCCATCTAGTATATACACAAAATAAAATAAAAATACCAGGAATGGAAAAAAAGCAACTGCAGTGAGCTAGGGAAGAGAAGTTCAGTGTGCTGCTGTGGCCTGGAGGAAGTGGTGGACTGTGGAATCTGGAGGGCAGAGACTACAGGACTGTTCTGGAAGCATTTTTTGACTGATGCTTCATGTGCTGCAGTCAGCAAGAGTTGTTGAAACTCAGATGAAAACTAGGCTTAGATAAAGCAAATGACAAGCTTTCTACTTTCCTCTTATAGTTCTGGTCACTTTGACAGCTCATGAACACTTTATTGCCCCATGCCTTTGATGACTTTGTTTTTCTTTCTAGAGAGAATAATGTTATTTGGAGTCCCTTTTGCAGTGATTCTGAGAGCTGATATTTTTGATGACATATAAAATGTAATGATGGGGTTAGGTGGGAAATGAACTCTGTTGATATTAAAAATACAGGAAAACTACAGTAAAGTACTCTGATAATAAAAAAAATTCAGAAGAATACTATTTCAATTGAAAATAAATATATATAGTATTTAGTTTAAAAAGCTAACTCTGTCTTCTTTCTTTATTGTACCTTTATAACCGTCCTTTGAGTCTTGAGAGGCATATCTTTCAATGGTGCCTTTTGTCTACTTCTTTGTGTCCCTAAGAGACTCCTTTTTTTCCCATTTGCTCAAAACCATAAAAGCATTGGAAGGCTCCATAGTATTCACTCGGCCAAAGACATCAGTGAAAATTGCAGGGGAGATTGGGTGGGTGGGGAAAATAAAGCCAGGTGTCTTTTTTAAAAAAAGAATTTATTAATGAAATAACAAAATACCTGAAAAGGAGTCAGCTTCAAATCACAGGAAGTTTAGCGTGACCCAAGAAAGAGAATTTTCTTAAAGAAAATGGCAGTTTAAAGAGGGGAAATTAGATTTTATATTTGATGCACTTGGAGAGAAAAAGGTTACTTAGAACTTTCTGGTGAGAGGAAAATAACCAACAGGACCATCAATATCTAAGAGTAAGACAGCAGCCACTTCAGACAGTATATTTAGGAGACTGTAGCAATTTCTTGTAATAGACAATGTGTTATATGGTTTTTTATTCATCCACTAGGCTTTCCAGCTGCCTTCAGAGATGGTGGAGCTTACTGGCAATTTTCTTCTGAAAAAAACATTCAGCCCAGTCAGTTCTTGTTTATGAAATAGGAAGAAATCAGATTGTTGGTTTTTTTTTGTTTCAGGCAGCAAAACATCATAGCCATTCCAGACAACTACATTTTAACTTAATTATAGTTTTTGGACCATCAATCACAGTTGTAAAAGTTTGTACGCAGCCCATTGCTATTCTTGGTAACTGATTTCATTGTCAAATCTCTTTTACTGTTAGGAAATTTTTCTACCATTCAATGGGAATCTACCAAATGAAATCCATTATTCTATGTCCCACACAATGACCTATATGACAATCTTATAATTTGTAAGCCATCCAGAGTTACCTTCTAGGGGTGATAGGCAGCATAGAAATTTAATAAACAAACAAACAAACAAACAAACAATAACTCTTACAAATTGCAGTGGTATCCCATTAAGTTTTCTCTTCTGGTCCCAATTTCTTTAATCTTTAATCTTAGTTAGTTGATAGTTCCTGATAATCTTTATTGCTCTTCTGTTCCAACTCATCTTAAAATATATATTCTAAAACTGGACACAATTCTTAAAATGTAATCTGAGCAATACAGATTAAGGTGGAATAATGATTTCCCATATTTGGAAATACTATTTCTGTAGATACACCTTAAAATTAAATTTGACTTTTTTTCATACCTATCACACTTCTGAATCATATTCAGTTCGTAATTAACTACTATTCCAAGATCTTTTTCACAAGTATTATTACCATCCTCTATTGTGCATTGGATTTCTGTTTCCTAAATGAAAACCTTTTATTTCTGTCTTCTAAATTTCACTTTATTCCTTTGAAACCATTTTTATCTCCTATCAAGATAATCTCTTAGGGTATTAAAAATCCAATCAAATTTTGACATTTGCACATTTGATAAGCTTCACTAAATGCTTGCTAATTACTATGTCATGGGGTGCTTTGTCAAATGCTTTGCAGAAATCATTCTCATAATCAATTAAAGAAGTTACCTAGTCAAAAGAATAAGATAAGGTTATGGCAAGGTTTGTTCTTGACAAACTCATACTGACTTCTGCTAATTGTTTTCAAGGTGTTTAAATTGTCTTTAAGGGACTTGCAGATTGATTTCTTTATGAACTGCCCAAGAATTTTCCCAGCATTGATGTCAGGCTGATTGATCTGTAATTTGCTAAATCTTTTCTTTTCCATCTTTTGAATATATGGAAAAGCATTAATTTTTTATACAATTTTATACTACAACCTGAAATGTTATATAAATGATAACATATGAATAATAATAATAATAATAATAATAATAATAATAATAATAATAATAATGTTTTGAGAAATTTCTCCTTTATGTACTTGTATGCAATGTCATGATGCAACTACAAAATGAGCAGAATTTGTACCACAAATACTAAAACACCATTCATCATTTCATACCACTTATCTGTTGTGGATTTCACAATGATGATACATAAAAGTTTCAGCAAATTCCTATGATGCAATTTATCAGGACTGGGTTATCTAAACTCTAAGTGGTAAAATGGTATTAACTTTACATGTTTCTATTAGTCTTGGGTGAGATATTGGACTAGAAGATCTCCAAAGTCCCTCCAATTTATGAGTCTATGATTCAACCTTCAATCCCGCTCGTTTTTTATAATTTCTATTTTTTTATATTATTTTTTTGTTGGAAAAGCTAGAACTAAAATTGGATTTGAGTTGTTTGCTATTTCTTTCTTACTTGTTTTTAGACCAGTTTGCCATATTATTGAATAATTGGTATACTAATTTCTTTTTGTTTTGAGCATAACTAAAGAAAGTATGTTGTTTTTGTTAATATCCTTCAGTGATCTCAGTTATTCTAAGCTTTCATTTTCACCAACATTTTTGCACAGCCATATTGGCTTCTGCTATCTTCCATTTTGTCTTAATTGGAATTGCTTGCAGTTTTGCTTCTAATATCTGCTCCCTTATGAATTCCATCTTAAACTCATTAGTTTGTCCTCCCATGGAATCCTACTTATCATTCCTTTGAGTTTATTAAATCCTCATGTTTGAAGCCCAAGTTTTGATTAACTCAGTTTTAACCTCCCTATCGATCAAAGCATAACTGATCCTCTTATGCCTTTCTTTACTCTCCACCTGATAAGGACACAGCTGGTAGCATGGCAAAACAGGAATTTCTTAAAAGACCTAGGCTTATAAAATGTGCCTCCCAATAAATGTTGGAATAATTAAAGTTTCTTAAACTTCATGTGTCTTTGAAAAATCTGCAGTTTCATTTTGTAAGGTATTATCCACATTATCTCTTTAGTGGGGAGGACAATAGTAGATATCAAGAACATGTTTATTTTTATTTCTTCATTCACTTGCTTTAATTCAGATGATTTCTAGCATTCAAAAATTCATTCATCTGGAAATCTGAGCAGAGGTGGATATGTTTAACATACTCCCCTTTTCTTGCCTGTGTTCCTTTGGAACAAATGGTATCATAAATGGCATTGCTATCTTCTCATCCTGGGAGTCCCCTGCCCCTTGTCTCTGTGACAGCATATTTGCTCTTTAGTTTAAGTTCATTTTGTTTCTTTCCGTTACTTTATGGCAGTGACCGTCATGGATTCTCTACCTACTAAATAAGCTCCGTGAGTTAAATAAGTTCTGTTTTGTAAACACTGCTATCTTATTCTTTACTGCTCAAAGATAAGTCCCATCTCCCTGTTGGATAGCAGCCTTCCTAATACATCATGATGCTAATAATGAACAATGATTATAAAAGATATCTGACGATAGTTATTTGTATCAATCAGTTAGAATATGCAAACATACATAATGACATACAGTAATGATGATTTGTCTTCCACTTCAGAAAGGTCTGGTTTCACAGTCAGACCAGTGGCTGGATATTTGTCCCCTCGTGATTTCTTAGCTGGTCTGGCCTATCGAGTGTTCCACTGTACTCAGTACATACGCCATGGTTCAGATCCCCTTTATACTCCAGAACCGTGAGTATCATTTGTGATAAGGCATTATTGCAATTAGGGCTTACCTTTCCTCATACAACCTGAGGTGGCACACAGGGCCACAACATCTCTAGCTTCATAATAATTTGACAAAAGTAGGTTCAATACTCTGGCTTACTTTTTCCAGAGCCACTGAAAGTCGGGTGGCATAGTAATAATAATTATAATTATGATAATAGCTGATGATATGATAATTGGTAATAATTATAATTATGCTAGTTATAGTTAGTTATGATTTGATAATTACAATTGCTAGGATAATTAAGATAATGGCATAAACCAGCAGTGGTAGCCACAGTGATTGATACACTGAATGCCATACCAAAAATTTTTGTGACACTTAGAAAATCTGCACAATATTTGCCAGTTTGTTAGTGTGGGACTGAAGAGATCCAAGTTAAAGTCACCACTCAGCTATAGAATTCAGTGAGTCATTTGGGGCAATTACTAATTTTCAGTTCAAAGTAATTTATGAGATTAAAACTGAGGAAAAAACATCCTGTCCAGAGCCTTGACTCTTTTGAGAAAAGGCAGGATAAAAATTCAATTACAAACTCAATAAGTAATAAACTTTAGGGAGAATAAAGCAACCTCCAGTGACTGAGTATTCTTAATATCACTCAGAAAATAGCCATAACAATAACATCTTTTATCAGTAGTTTGCATTTTGAGCCATGGGATGTTTAAATGTTCTTTTTAGTGATTTTTCTTGTACGAAACAAGAAAGTGGAAGATTCCACTTCAATTAGGAGAAGGAGTTTAAGCTTCTCCATCATATCTTGCCTCAGGAGATGAGTTTCTGCTCATATGGAATAATTATTTCTGCCAGGGCCAGTTTTATTTTACTTTGTATTTATTCTTAGAACCTTTTCCCTTCATATACTTCGGAAGTCCAAAAAGGGTGACCGAACAGCATCTTTTTTTTTGTGACTGTCAGACCTCCCCCATCATTTTGGGGGTTTAAAAACATAAATTGGTTCTTGTAGTTTCGTCTCTGTTTTAGGGAGGTGGGAGGAGCAAAAAAAATATACTTCTGCCTCTGCATTCCATCCCAAAAGCCCTGGAAACCCGTTCCTATATTTAATGTTCACTTTTGGAGTATAAGCCTTAATATGCTATGCAAAATAGGAAGCAACCAGGATACAACTGAATATTCTGTGTTTTCTTATTCTTTATTGAAAGATAATCCAAAATATGGGTCATTGATACTCTTTGAGCTTGATTGTTTTCTTGCAGACATATTGTTACCCAACTAGGTAACATCATCAGTGCTGATAGCTAGCATTAATAATGTTACCTAGTTGGGTAATGAAACAATTACAAACAAACAAACAAGCTCAGAGAGCACCAGAGAGCCCATAGTTCAATCCTCAGCTTCAAATATTCTCTTATCTTGGTAATAATCTAAATGGTGCTGCAATTCTAATACTTTTCCCCATGAGATTAAGTCCCATTGATTCAATGAAACTTCTTCAGAGTAAACATTGCACTGGATTGCACTGGAAATGTATTTCTTACTGTATTATATATCTTTCAGCTCTTGCTAGGAGATATCATCTAAATGCTTTGTCATCCAAAGCAGTTATCCTTTGTTGGTGTTGATACAATAAAGTTTTTTTTAAATGAATTCATAAGAACACGAGTCATCCAAATTGTCATGTACCATAACAGAATGGCAAAAAATTGAATAAGCACTAAATGGCAGCGTTGGTGTCTCTTGAATTTCTTTGCTGCTATCTAGAGGCCATATCAATTTTTAAAAAATAGATTTTTATTGAAAATTCTAACAATAATAAGAACTGATACAAACTCAAATAGAACAAAAAGGAGAGACAAAGGGAGGAGAAAATGCTAAAAGTGCAGATTTAAAAAGTAAAAGGAAAAATTTTTTAAAAAATCTTCTTTTTTCCCTTCCAGATCAATTTTTTTCAGCAATAGATTTAATTTAGCCTTTAGCATTTAGGATTATTGTGTTTCAGTAGTGCTGATTTGCATATACACCTTTGATAGTTTCCCATGGCAGTATTTATAATGAGAGAAATTATATAGGATTGTACTGCAGGGCAAAAGTTCTGGATTATATAGCCAAATGATTTTTCAAAGAGAGACAATTGGGGACAATGACAAAAGAAGACCATGATATAAATACCATCCATATTTGACAAGATACACCAAGTCTAATACTTTAGCACAGGCCTACATAGTGGATATTGAATTAAAGAGACTGTTGTTTTTAAATTATAATAAAACTAGGCTAATTCTGAAACAGATGTTATAGTACAGGATTATAGAGATATTTTTTCTTTTATCATGACAATATCGTGATTTATGTGCACTTAAAATATGGTACTCCATATACTCAAAAGAATCTCTGTCCTGCTCTTGGGTGACTAAAATGAAATAGCTGCTGGGGAATTAGTAAGCAGACACTTTCTGCTTATTAAGGAGTTAGTTGCATTAATTCATTTCTGAGTAATTTGGAAACAGGCTAGCTAGACCATCAGCAATGATGGGTCTGGTCAGATCCAGAAATAAGTTGCATCGTTAGAAATGAGAGATGGGATCACATTCAGAAATAGCAGGACCAAAATGCATTTAACAGAGCAAGCAAATTAAACTCTCACAGGTAAAGATAATTTAATAGTAACTAGTGAAACCAGTGATAAAATGTTGCACTGAACAGTTGTAATTTAGGGCATTCTGCTTCATTTCACTCTTGTATACCCCAGATTTCTGGACTTCCTGCCTATAGTAATTTAGCTTGGCTTTTTTTCAGATGACATTTCATTTTCAGGAGCTGGGTTTCGTTGTTGCTCTTTTGCTTGGCAATGCAAGAACTGAAGCACTACAAAACTCGTGAGGGTCATGAGTTCTGCTGCTCAGATCAACACTCTGCTCCTGAAAAGAAAACTTATTAGGATATCAAGTCTTGAAATCAATGAAGGCAATTCCATTTCTATTCAAGATTGTTCGTTCACACACTTCCTTTAGGATAGGTGTGGTTCCAATATGTTGAACATACTGACTGGGAATACTAATTATAAGTCACCCAGAGTCATGTATTCAATATGAGGTAAATAAATAGAAATCAGCCAACAAACCCACCCACCTACCTACAATACTTGGAGAGGAAAGCTGATTTTTAAAGATTTTCTTCCTTCTTTATTATTTTTATAAATAACTCAAGATGGCAATCATACCTAATATGCTCTTCTCCTCCTATTTTTCCCACAACAGCAACCTTGTGAGATGAGTTGGGCTGAGAGAGTGGCCAGCCCAAAGTCACCAGCTGGCTTTCACAGTTTACATAGGGTGGGACCAAAAGTCAGTCTCCTGGTTTAGAGCCAAGTGCCTTAATCACTAGACCAAACTGGCTCTCTTAGTGGAAGCCTTATTAGTGAAAAGAAAGGGATGTTGTAAAGCTAAACTAAATGTATGCACTTGAATCATGAGTTTAGATTATGTTTATTTAGTAACGAGACAAGCTTATTCCCAAAAGTGGAGTCTTTTATAAAAAGCACAAGGTGGCAGTTCAGAACCAGAAATGAATGCTAAGTCTATAAGATCTAAACTTAATCATAAACCCTCTCACACTGGTTCTATATTGTAAAGCAATAAAAAAAGAAAACAAACCATTTGGGAAAACAGGCTTCTTAACGCCTCTATTTTCATATTCACACACAGCTTCTTAATTGTTCTGATCCTTACATACACATCTGTGATCTAATCAACAAAAACAGATAGGTTGGTATGAATAACTCATTGTCCTGACTGAGGGAAGGGTGTCAGAAATATAATGGGGAACTAAATATAATACTAAAAAATACTGATGAATATAGAAATAAATACATCGTCACCAACATCACCACACAAACACACATTCATAATACCAATACTATTTTTTGTTTGTGCAAAGAGACAATGGGAGCTTTTTTAAAAGCTATGAACAGCAAGAAGGATTTTTAAAAAATTAAACAGAAGCATTTCTTTCCATGAAAACTGGTTGGTATTTTATGTCTTTTAGAACCAGTTCATATTTTTGTCAAAAATTAAACAATATAAGGGAGAGAAGCAAAAATAAAGAAATAAATATGCTGTTTTACTGCTGCAAATAAACTATTCAACTTTTGAAGCAACCTTTATGATAGTCCTCTTTCATTTTGAAAAAGAACATACTTAACATACAATTTGGGAATTGTTGTAGTGCTCTATATGAGTTTATATCACAGTAGTTTTAGACACGTACTAACATTGCATTTTATTCTATGGCAGGGATACATGCCATGAACTCCTGGGACATGTGCCTCTGCTTGCTGACCCCAAATTTGCCCAGTTTTCTCAAGAGATTGGCTTGGCCTCTCTGGGAGCATCTGATGAAGATGTCCAAAAACTTGCCACTGTAAGTCACCATCATTTAAAATGTAAGATTTCCTTCTGTGTTAAGAATCTGCCAGTTCTTCTAAATTTACTAAATGTAGGGGTGGGGAAAAGCTAGTCATTTCCATCACCCCCAAATATAGGCTGTGTTCACACAATGCACTAAACCAATTGTTTTCACTAATTTCAGTATCATTTGATGAATGAATACTGAACATGGCCATGTTGTTTATGAATCTAGCTAATGTTGGATTATTTAACAAGATGTGGTCAAGTAGACTATTGCTTAGTTTGGTGCCTAAATTAGATCACAGAGCCCATTCCTCTCTGGCAATACAACCATGTTACCTTTAATGTATGGTCATTTCTCTCCCTCCCTCTCTCTCCAAGATACCCCGAAACCCTCCAGAAAGTGCCTTTACTTTACTGTTTTCCAGATGTGGTGGGACTACTAGTCCCAGAATTTCTTGCTAGCTAGTGTCCATACTCCTTAAAAACCTAAGGAATTATATGAATTGTGCATCCAATATATCTGAAACATACCTGATTGATAGAAAACCACTTTACAGATTTGAATGGATGTAATTCAGACCCATTGTACTGTATTTTTCCAATTAAGCTTTTGCAAACTGCATTGTGTACATATTTTTACATTAGCCTATAGATAAAATGAAGATGAAAAATAAAGCCTACAAGAAAGTAGTGATTTCTGAATATATTGCAATATTGTAGGCAATTGTACACATTCAGTGGACAGGAATGCATTATAATTCTGCCTGATGTACAAAAAGTAAAAATGGATTTGCAGGAGTGAGAAAATTTTGTATCAGAATTCTACACGTGAATCCAAATTTCTCTGAATACAAAGAAAATTTGGAGCTGGAGTAGGGATCTGAGAAACAGGTCTCACATTTTTTTTCTGTTGAAAGTTATGTAAAGAAAAATCCTTAAGCTTTTTACACTGAAAATTATGTTCCCTAATTTAGGAAAAGCTTGCCGTCACCATATCAAATTTAGGTTTATGGGTATGAATTAGCTTATTGAAGTTATGAAAATTAGACTACTTCTCCAGGTTTTAATCATTTTGAGAAAACTAGTATCCAATGCATTATACAGTATGTACATTTGGATCTATTATTAGTGTAACCTGCAATGTCTCTTTCTAAATGTACATTGTCATAGTGTTTGATTTGCTTCAACTTCTATTTTTTCTGTATGGATTAAAAAAAATCAATTATTTCAAAAATGATCTTTATATTAGCCTTCACTAATTGCTTCTTTTAAAGTACTACTTACAAATATGTCCAATTAAATCAATTGCTGTCAGATGCTAATTAACTTTTTTTCTAAGTCCCCCCCCCTTTTATTCTGAAACTGTTTTCAGTTCTCAGTCATTTATGTATTAAAAACATATTTTTTTATTGCTATTGATTGTGCTATTTTAAGCTAGCACTGAAAAATTGAAATTAAACCATTGGTCTCTTTGTACAAGTTCACAGGAATGAACTCAGATGCTTCTACAGAGGTAATCAGAAAAGTCAAGATGGTGGGCATGATGGTGGGATCAAATCCCAATCCCCCTTCTTATATGTTTTTGGTGTTGCATGTAGAAATGCAGGCTTTGATTATGCCCAGGTAGGGAAGGTCAGGGAAAAGAATGTGAAGGATGAGGTCAAAACCCCCAAAGTGCTTTTTCAAAAGGCACCTGGATTTTTTTCTTTGAAAACGTTTTGCTTCTCATCCAAGAAGCTTCTTCAGTTCTGACTAAATAGTAGAGAATGGAAGGATTCATATTCCTTGCCGTTATCTGGTTGTTAGCACTTTTTCTGGGAATTGTTGAGGCCACTTGGAGGTTATCTGTGTCCTCAGGGTCACCCATGCAAATGGGAGTGGAACCTTTTTGGAACTGCTGAAAGGACTGTATTATAAACAGGAGATAGTGGTATCGTATCCCACCCCCTCTGTTTCTCTTTGATCCACCATTGGTTTGAAAGAGGAGTCAAAAGAATCATCTACATTAAAGTTGAACAGCCCTCTCTCAACAGAGGGGGCGGGATATGATGATGAGGTCAAACGTTATGCTAGATTTCTGAGCACGGAGAAAGGGTGTGGCTCTGCTGAAGTGCACAAGTCATGTTTGTGGTATTGGTTTATGCACTGGATCTGCTCAGGAATATTGTGATAACTTTGTCAGTGGATTATATGTTTTAAGCTTTAATTCAGGAAAATAGAGGCATGCACAGGATTTGATGCCTTCATTAAAATGAGCAGAAAGGGGGCAGAGCTTGCATCATGGCAACTATTGGCCTATCCTGTAGATGCTGCTGCTAGGAATGAATGCAGTGGTTTTAATTAAAGAGCTGAGTAGAATAATGTTTGATAAAGTATATATTCCTTAGCAGTATGTCAGGGCTTGATGAGGAACCATTACAAGAGGGGTATCCTCTTTTCATCTGTGAAATACTAGGAAGAATAGTTTTTAAAAGTTTAAAGAATTATCATCACAGAGCTACACAAACATATCAACACTGAAATTCTTTGAAAGATAATTTGTAAGCCATATGTGATTACCATAACCAATAATTGAACAATTAAAATTGGAAATCTATCAGTTACTATCCTGAAGAATTGAGAATACTGTCTTCAGTGTAGCTCACTGACCTAGCATTAATATAAGTGGCTTGGAAATAATTTCAAGATTTAAGATGGGAAGTATGCATCTGCCAGGAAGCCCAATATCATTTAGAGAATCTGTGTAAAAATTCTAGAACTGAGAGCCAAGAATCCCTGTTCCTAATGCTATACAGTACATGTTTTAATTTATATTCTCAAAGGTTACAGGTAGCTGAAAGAAGAAAGCAACACACCTCACCCCCCTACAACATTTCAGAGAAAACAAATAGCTACAGATGCATAGCAAAGTTAACCAGAATAATAAACAGATACTTTGCATTTATATAGTGCTTTAAAGTGCATAAAACGTTTTGCAGATGTGGCCATTAATTTTTACACTAGACAATATAAGCATGCCAATTCTTAAGAAGGTCTGAAAAAATATTGATTTGTTTAAAGCAAGCAAATGCATCTGTGATGGGTGAAGCATTTAAATGAGAATCTTTGTTAGCCTATTCAGTTGACACCTTAAAATATGGACCACCAAACAGCCCCTCCATCCTGTCATTCATGCTGGTGACATTAGTGAACTGGTAGTCATCCATGACATAAAGTAATTGTCTGCAGAAAAAAGTTTCACATACCTATATGCAAAGGCTGGTATGCAGTCTGAAATCCTACAATATCAAGGTTCCAGCTCCTAGAGAGTACCTTCTCAACCAAGAGCCAAAACAAATCTGGATTCATATGTTTCTTGATATTTCATCCTTCCAGGATTTAATTTTAGCCTGTTTGATTCTATTCATCTCTTACAGTCTATGGATTCTGGTTAGGACCTCTATCATACCTCCTCTGGGAGTGGAATAAAGTTATAAAAATGGAGTGTAACTCTGTCATGGTAGTAAACCATTACCTCCCTCACTGAAATATTTAGCTAGCACTCTTCAAATCCAGCCTTCTGTTGCCTCCTTGGCAATTTGAACAAGCCACAAGGGGCAAGAATCTAGCCCAAAGATGGCTGAATTCATACTATTGAGAAAACTATCCACTTTCTCAAATTCCACAGTTCAAGAGAATCCCAGATATCTCTACAAGTACCTCAGTCATCTCATTCCATATTGCCACTGGACAGCAGGTTGTGAAAAACACCAGCAGTATGCAAAACCTATCTAGAATGATAAGCATACTCATCAAATATACTCATATCCGGTTACTTGCAAAGCTGGATATCTAGTCATTAATAAATCTGTCAGATAATCATTAACATGCCATTCATCACCCCATCCATCTTTTCTTTTTGTGAGTGATATCCCCGCCCTCTCTTTTTTTTTTAGAGTGGCATCTGTTGCAGCACTCAAAACCTAGTCAGGCAAATTTCCAACAACCAACCCATTCATCCTTGCCCAGTCAAGTGGAGCACAGTTCTAAATAAACATGTTGAGGATTGCAGTAGCTGTCATCTGATGAATAAGCTGACTCACAGTCATAACTAAAAGAAAAATGTAGAAGGAAAAGGCAGAATAGAGGCATTCTAAACCACAGACTGTGTCATGTTTGCAAGACATATTATTGCCATGTGAAATGCCAAGGACTGTCATTGTGTGCTGGGTTAAGTCCACATTTTATCTTGTGTCCTTTTATTTCTGGAAGCAGCATTTTCTACTTTTCCCCTTAGCTAAACAGAGGATGGAGAGCATATCCCTCCTTCTGCTGAATGTACATAATGCTACAAAAATATCAGAAAAAATATTCCCTGCATGGCAAGTATTTATTACTTCTTTATTACTGCAATTTAATTTCATGCCTTCTATTTGAGTGCTTTTAAGATGGCCAACAGTATTGCCAAAATAGTTAGTTATAAATAAAATCAATGAACAGTAACATAGAGCTGAAAATAAAACACAATCAGTTGACAAATATGTGGGGAAGGGAAAGCTGAAGCTGTATGGTGGCTTATAGGGTTTTAAACACTTGTGGGAATAGTGGAAAAGTTCCTTTGTGACTTTATAGATTAATTCTGTATCAACATCTTGTAATGTTGCTTCACCATTGGCACTTCTGATGGCTATGAAAAGAATAATTGTGCAGCTGTTCATTTGCTTAAACAGTTTGCAGATACGCAAGGGTGTCTTGCATTTTTGACTGCTTGTGATCAAAGCTTTTGTTTGGTTTTGGTTTTTTGCTGCAGCTGTAGACTTAGTTAAAAAAAAATAGCTTCAATGCTAAGAGCCAAAACACCAGATATTCACATGACTGCAAACTCTGTTCAGCCAAGCTGGCCCTACTGTTAGGCAGAGTGAAGTTGCTCTCTAGGCAGCTGATTTTGTGTCTCATGATTGGGCAGCAAATTGTCCTTTATATTTTTATACTAAATCAACTGTGCAGTCAAGGCTGGACCTCAGAACTAAA